TCGACGTCCCGCTGTTGGTCAGTTGGCGGTGACTGCTCGGATGTTACACGGTCTTTGACCGCCATTCTCTTCGTTGGAAACGGCCTGCCTTGGTTTTGCCGTTTCGACACTAAGTCGTCTCGAATACTGAAACCCTTGTCAGGGACTGTCTTGACACAGATTGCATTCTGAGAGTACTGCTCCGAATAAGCTTCGAGCAAGGACATTGGCGCTTCTAATCTTTGAGCTCCTCTTTCTGGTTTTATCGATACCCCCTGCACGATAAGTAACAGCTCGTCCGTTTGGCAGTTGGAGCAACCCATCGTGTGCTGTGGCACATTCTCCCCAGTATAACGTCGTCGTCATTCAACGCACAACATTTCTGTCTGAGGATGGTTTATCTTCTTCGGCGGTCCAGAGTCGCACGCCTTGAAACCGGCCTATGTTAGCCGTGAATCTCGCAGCAGGCTCCTGTACATTCTATGTGCAAAGTTGTGCGCTTGGCGCCGCAATTTTCTCGCAAGTGCTGGCGGGTTGCGGCGACCTCCAGCATGTGATATGATTTGGGACTTCTTTCATTGGTCCAAGCGTTCTTGGACTGGAGCTTTACCTCGTTCTTTGGAATAGCGACCGAGGCGCTCCAAAACTGCTTTCTCTCTTCCTGAGGCATGTCCTGCCGGATTTCCCGGAGCAGTTGCAGAAATCACTGGCGTTGATTGAATTCTCGGCTCGTTGAACCTTTTGCGGTTGCCGGTTTTGTCCTTAGTCTGAACCGCTCCAGAATTCGGCTTCCAAACATTGCGAGTCGATGCGCTGCTTTATCGACCACCTCACGCTGTAGCTTGCGACGGCTTCTTCACCTTTAGCCCGCTGCTTGCGCAGATAATGCGGCGGCGCTTTGGGATACGTTCCTCCCGGTCGAGCGGTCCCGTTTTGACACGAACCCACTACATTGTTGATGGCTTAGGATAGGCAACCATCCTTCATTTGCTGTTGAGGCTGTTTGCCTCGTTTGTTCTTCAGATCTGCATGGTAACGGACCCAGTCAACAGACTCCATGGCCTTGGCGAACTGCTTCGCGAGGTGTTGGCGCTGCCTCTGGCGAGCTCTCTTAGAGAGAATCACCACGCCTTCGACGGCGGATTTGACCTGCTTCGAGGCCGGTAGGACTTCACCTGACGCAACTTCGGCGTCGAATGGGGTGAGGTCGTCGTTGGTGGCTTCAACTTCTTCGCACCAACGGACTTTTCTCCTGGAGGAGAACTTCTGAAACTTCT